TAAAATTATGGATGTTAAATAATATGTTCTAGTGTTTGATGATAAGGTCTTATTTATAAAAAAAAATCTGGATATCAAATTATATACTCTAGTATCAAATGATAAGATCTTATCTAAAAAATACTATGATCGTTATAAATTTAAATTTTTAACAGATACAATTAAAAATTAATATAGAAAAGAACATATAATAAGATAAAGATGAAAATGTTACCCTCTAATATATTAATAAGTCAATATATATTTACCACAAAGATGATCATATTTAATAAAAATCAGGGTAAAAAACGTTACAATCTAATCTAACATATTGATTAGTCATAGAAAATTTGTTACAAACAAATTCATCTTTCATAATCTAATCCAAATGACCATCCAAAGTAATTATATTTGTCTCTTGCCACCTTATATATAAGCACAAAGGTTTTAAAAAAAATCCTAAAACGCATCAAAGAAAGCCTAAAGCCCCAAAACAAAAAATAAAAACTAAAAATGCAATTACAGTGAACTAAAACTTGCCCAGTGAGTTTTGAAATCTGTAAAATTGAAAACACAAGCTCACCCAGTGACAATTTGCTTATCCAACTAGTTACAAATACTTTTAAAATTTATAATTATTCTATATTTGAACTTATTATGACCTTCTTATAGGAATCCTTCTCTAAACTCTTCTTATAATGGATTAAAAGATAATATTCTATCACATTTTTTTAAAGTAGAATTTGTTCTCAAATTCGTATTAAGAGATAATTCTCTTTCATGTTATTATATTAACGATAAAAAAAACACAACATAGTGTAGTCCCTAAATCAAATTCATTCAAGTGCGAAGATTATTTGTTGTTTGTTTTGAAAATCATTTCCTCCAGTTTCATACGTTGACTCTTTTTTTTTTTGGTTATGTTGACATTGAAAGGGATGATAAAGTAGTTTTAGAATTTCAGAATGCTATGAAATGCATACTCTTTGATGGAATGGTTTTACAGTTTCTCAAATATAACATACAATTTTACTCTATTTTGTGACTATTCTCATTAATAAATACATGTATGTTTTGTTAGCTATGAGATTTTAGGAGACTAAATAAATTTTATAGCCAATATAGTTATTTGTGAAACTTTTTGGCCAAACGTTGATGTACTAGGAAAACAACTTAAATACGAGTAGGTTTGTCATTCCATGATTTATATTATCTAAATGTTGAATGAATAAATAATTTATCAAAAAATAATTAAAAGTTTACGTCTATTAAAATTTTGATTAGAAACTACAGAAAATTAAAAGGTTAAAATGGTGCAAAAGTAAATTGTAAATCCCAATATGTGCCCCACGACCCCATGTTCTAATTTGTTGTCTTCTATCTTAATTATTTTTTAACAATTACTACTAAATTCATAATTCTTATCAATTAGTATTAAATTCATAATCAATTAGTATTAAATTCATAATTTTTATTAATTAGTATTAAATTCATAATTCTTTTCGGGTAGGGCCAAAACACACAAGCAATGTGAATTGCGTTATTTCTTTATTTGTTATGTTTCATAACATGAACAATTATAAGGTATTTTTGATAAATTAGTTTAATTTTTTTATTATTTATTTTAAAATTTGGTACGTGTTATTATCTCAATATTATGGCTTGATTAAACCAGTCCATTCATCTCAAATAAAATTTGAAAAATGTGACAACAAAAGTAGAATACATTTATTTTACAGTTAAACATTGATCAAATCTTCCATACAACATGGTGTAAACAAGAATAAGTGCATGAAACTTTTTGCAGTCATGCCACATATCCACTCATTTATTCTGTCACTTTTCACTACTTCACATATTTCACCTTCTTCTTATCTTTTTACGAAGACCACCTCTGACCATTTTCACAAGCCATTTAGGCTTTCCAATGAATAATACAAAAATTCCAAGACCAATTCCAACTATTATTCCACATCCATATCCTATAACAACTGCTTCCCATCCAAATTCAAATCCCTCTTCTCGCCAGAAGTTTGGAGAAGATGGAGATTCTTGTTCAGTGCTACTGCAGTTCTTTGACAATGGGAACCCACATAGTCCTGAGTTTCCAATGTAGGAGTTATTTTCAAAAGTGTTGAACTGTTTTTCTTGAGGTATTTCTCCAACAAGATGATTATAGGAAAGATTCAGGACTTCAAGAAAGTTCAAATTGGTTAATTCTATGGGTATCCTACCCATGAACATATTTGAGGAGAGATCCAGTGATTCCAAATTTGTCAAATTTCCAATGGATTGGGGAATAGAACCACTGAGTCTATTATGAGAAAAGTTGAGTCCTTTAAGAGCATGAAGCTCTCCAATCACATATGGAATCTCTCCTTCAAATTTGTTTCTGGATAAATCAATGGTCATAAAGTTTTTTGGGATTTTTTTAAATGTCATAGTTATAGCTTTTGTTGTTATGGTTGCAAATTCAGCTACAGATCTGTTACTGTAAGGTTGAATGTATAGCTCGCCCACTTTGTAACGAATAACATTCTTCATGGCTTGAAAATTTTGTATATAGGTTTTTGGTATTGAACCATTGAAGTAGTTGGATGAGATATCAAAAATAAGTAAACTTGAAAATCCATGTTTCATCCTTAAACTTGGAATGGGACCGTAGAAATTGTTGCCATGCAATACCAATATTGTCAACAATGGTAGAGTTTGAAGCCAATCAGGAAATTTGTCCTCAATTTGATTGTTGGCAAGATTCAAGATCTCTAATTGTGTGCACTTTGACAAAGATTTTGGCAAAATACCTTCTAATTGGTTGTCATTGAGATTCATAACGCTGAGAGGACTATTCATTGAGAAATTACTTGGTAATGTACCATTTAGTTTGTTCCTTTTTAAATCCAAAATAGAAAGGGAAGACAAGTTTGCAAGGCATGGTGGAATGACACCTACCAACTTATTGTGAGACAAGAGGAGAACATTAAGTGAACTTACATTACAAATGGAGGAAGAGATGTCGCCAGTGAGTAAATTTAAACTAAGATCAAGGAATTGGAGATTGTAGTTCCTTGAGAATTGCTTCATTGGAGTTGTCAACAAGTTTTGGGATAGGTTCAAATAATTTAATGAATCGATTTCATGTAACCACTTGGGAACTGTTCCATTCAATTTGTTGTTGGATAGATCAAGTTCTGTCAACCTTGGGACTTTTCCTCCCAATTTTGGAAACTCAGTCAGACCTAAAGAAGATAAATACAATCTCTCTAACCTGGGGAAATTGTAATTGACATTGTGAAAACCACTAAAATTGTTTGATGATAAACATAATTGGCCAAGATTTACAAGAGTGAAGATTGATTGTGGAATATTGCCCTGTAGCTTGTTGTTGCACAAATACAGAAACTCAAAGGACTGTGACACCACAACACTTATATGTCCTGTGAACTGATTATTTGATAGATATAGCTCTAGCAAATATGTCAAAGATAAACACCAAACAGGAATTGTTTCATTTAGTAAGTTGTCATTCAAGTATAACCGAGTTAGGTTTGAAAGACTTATTATTTTGTTAGGCAGAGGACCCTCCAATCTATTATGTGAAAGATCTAAGAAAACAAGATATTGAAGATTTAGAATTGACAATGGAATTTGACCACTCAATTTATTCATTGAAAGATCCAAGAAAACGAGCCATTGGAGATTTGAAAGTGTTGATGGTAGCTCTCCTTCTATATTGTTATGACTCAAATCTAATTCTTGAAACTTATTTGACTGGGGAAAGACATTTGGGATTTGGTCACCGAATTGATTGAATCCCAGATCTAAAAAACTTAAATATGGAAGTGTTAAAAGAGAGGATGGGATTGAACCATTGAGATAGATGTTATGTGACAGATCAAGGAAAGTAAGATGTGTGAGGTTGGAGAAAGAGACAGGGATTGGCCCCTCAAATTGATTAAATGAAAGATCCAATATAGTGAGAGAAGCAGCACTACAACTCAAGTTGGGAAGATGCCGACCATTGAGACGGTTATGAATATATGACAAGTGTAACTGTTGAAGTTTTGGTAAGCATAAGATGTCATTTTTCAAGTTTCCCCATACTCCAGTGTAACTGAGACTAAGACTAACTAAAGAGATAGACTGGTTGAGTGGCCTCATTGAACTTTGAGTCATATCTACATCATCCAAAATAAGCTCCTTTAAAAATGTTGTGTTTTGGAGGAACTTCTTCCAACTGCTTTCTTTCCACTTTAACATGAAATTATGAGAGAGATCAAGTGATTCTAATTTAGAAAGTTGTGAGATTTGAGAAGGAATTTCACCTTCAAAGAGACAATAAGACAAGTTGAGGTGTGTGAGACTCACAAATCCACCAAAGAGAGGTGAAAGTTGAAAGTTGAAATAATTGAAAGCAAGATTAAGTGATTGAAGATGAGAAAGATAGAAAAAGGTACTGTTCGGAAGAATTGCATCAAAAAGGTCACTGCATGAGACATCAAGGCCTATGACACGACCAGAAATGGGATGGCAAGTAACTCCAACCCATGAGCAACAATCTGTCTCATTTTCCCATTTTGGTGTCTTTGGATCCATATCACTGCATGCAGCATAGGTGGAAACAGCATAAGTGGTATCATCATAAGTGAGAGAGGTCTCTTCTGACCCAAAAGAAAAAGTATTAGAGGTTTTGAATTGGAGCAAGGCAATTTTATCGTGAGGATGACATAAGGAATGAGAGAATGAGAAGTGAAACATATGGCAACACAGAAGAAGTAACCACCCCACCCATGACTCCATATCTAACTGTGGTTAAGTACAAATGTTCACTGGGATTTACTTTAAAGGAAAAATGTGCATACGGCTAAGTAATCAAAGATGAAGATTTATAGCCAAAATAAAATAGGGAGATGGGGTTCTTTGATTGTGACCAAATTAATGTTTGATTGTGACTTCTAAACAAAATATGGCTCAGCTTCTAATATTGTAGCAGCATTGTCAATGGAATTGACTTGTTGGAGTCATTGTCGACAAAAATGGGGCCTATNTACAAAAATTCCAAGACCAATTCCAACTATTATTCCACATCCATATCCTATAACAACTGCTTCCCATCCAAATTCAAATCCCTCTTCTCGCCAGAAGTTTGGAGAAGATGGAGATTCTTGTTCAGTGCTACTGCAGTTCTTTGACAATGGGAACCCACATAGTCCTGAGTTTCCAATGTAGGAGTTATTTTCAAAAGTGTTGAACTGTTTTTCTTGAGGTATTTCTCCAACAAGATGATTATAGGAAAGATTCAGGACTTCAAGAAAGTTCAAATTGGTTAATTCTATGGGTATCCTACCCATGAACATATTTGAGGAGAGATCCAGTGATTCCAAATTTGTCAAATTTCCAATGGATTGGGGAATAGAACCACTGAGTCTATTATGAGAAAAGTTGAGTCCTTTAAGAGCATGAAGCTCTCCAATCACATATGGAATCTCTCCTTCAAATTTGTTTCTGGATAAATCAATGGTCATAAAGTTTTTTGGGATTTTTTTAAATGTCATAGTTATAGCTTTTGTTGTTATGGTTGCAAATTCAGCTACAGATCTGTTACTGTAAGGTTGAATGTATAGCTCGCCCACTTTGTAACGAATAACATTCTTCATGGCTTGAAAATTTTGTATATAGGTTTTTGGTATTGAACCATTGAAGTAGTTGGATGAGATATCAAAAATAAGTAAACTTGAAAATCCATGTTTCATCCTTAAACTTGGAATGGGACCGTAGAAATTGTTGCCATGCAATACCAATATTGTCAACAATGGTAGAGTTTGAAGCCAATCAGGAAATTTGTCCTCAATTTGATTGTTGGCAAGATTCAAGATCTCTAATTGTGTGCACTTTGACAAAGATTTTGGCAAAATACCTTCTAATTGGTTGTCATTGAGATTCATAACGCTGAGAGGACTATTCATTGAGAAATTACTTGGTAATGTACCATTTAGTTTGTTCCTTTTTAAATCCAAAATAGAAAGGGAAGACAAGTTTGCAAGGCATGGTGGAATGACACCTACCAACTTATTGTGAGACAAGAGGAGAACATTAAGTGAACTTACATTACAAATGGAGGAAGAGATGTCGCCAGTGAGTAAATTTAAACTAAGATCAAGGAATTGGAGATTGTAGTTCCTTGAGAATTGCTTCATTGGAGTTGTCAACAANATTTATAGCCAAAATAAAATAGGGAGATGGGGTTCTTTGATTGTGACCAAATTAATGTTTGATTGTGACTTCTAAACAAAATATGGCTCAGCTTCTAATATTGTAGCAGCATTGTCAATGGAATTGACTTGTTGGAGTCATTGTCGACAAAAATGGGGCCTATATAGGTTTGATTTCCTTCTTCAAATTTATCGTACTCTCTATCTTATCCACAAAAACGGAATTGACTTCGAGTCAATGCCCCAAAAAATGGGACCTCGCTTTAATATTCCAACTACCAACAGTTATCGCAACAACATATCTTCATTTTTTATCAAATACTTTCTTTTTTATTTTTTAACTAATAATTATCCAAAAAATAAACCCACCACATTGTTTTACTCTTCATATATTTTATTCTTTCTTACCATCTTTACTGCAAACGAAATGCTATTCTTTTAATCTTTTCAGATACATTTTATATCTTTTCGTAGTATTTTTATTTTTTTCAATATTATTGATTTATTTTTCATCGGTTAACCTATATATAATGGTAGCATTTTAAACAAAACTAAATATATTGATTTGATTATAATTATTTAAGAAATAAAAGTTGGTTACTAAACTTGTTGATCAGAATAAACTTAATTATAAATCCTATGTATGAGCTAACAGTTTTGGGTTTTACACTCGTATTATATGTTTGGATTTTATAGCAAAAGAAGAAAAATAAAGATACACTAAGTGTTAAATAAATATCAAATAAAGATATTATATTTAACATAGTAAAAACTATATACGGAATCAATCTCATTTGTGTTGAATATATTACTGAAGGGCTTTAGACGTATATTATTTTGGGTTTTTAATGTTTGATCTCTGTTCGACGTCTATATGGGTGACGTTAATGAGACGTCGGACCCAACAGGTCAGACATCTATATAGACGTTCGACCATACAGGTCAGACATCTATATAGACGTCTGACACTATAGATCAAACGTCTAAAACGTTGTCGTATTTGATTGCATCTTTTTCCGCTTGAGGTCTCTTGGGTTGCTTCTGGCTCATGGTGATTCGAGTTTACAACTTTATATTTTAGTTGAAGAGGATGTATTGTACGTTTTTTTAATTTGATGGTTTTAAAAACGTAGTGGAGAGAATTGGAGGAGTGCAAAACACAAGAAATCGCCGCCCGGGAACGCTGCCCAAGGACACGAGCAAAACTGCACCAAAACCCAACGAAAACGTATTTTAATCGGTTCAAATGAAAGACAATGCATCAAAGAGTGATGTAATCATAGTAAAATTAATTTAAAACGGTGCAAAACTGAGAAAATGAACCTGAAAAGCGTAATCTGTAGAGAGAAAACACGAGGAAGATGATGAACATTAAGTGCGCGTAACTGCTGTCTTGCGTTCGTGGTGTTTTAATGCAGCCATATAGAAGTCAGTTCCCCCACATCAGACGTCTATATGGTTGTAGAAGTCGGATTGGCGGGATCAGACGTCTAAATGGAGTTAAAAAGTGACTTTTTAGATTTCAAAAATGAATATATAGAAGTCGGTTCCCTACATCGGACTTCTATATGGCTGTAGAAGTCATATTGGCGAGATCGGACGTCTAAATGGAGTTAAAAAGTTACTTTTAAGATTTCAAAAATGAGTATATAGAAGTTTGTTCCCCCATATTAGACGTCTATATGGCTTTAAACGTCTGTTCCCTCCAGAACAGACGTCTATATGGTTGTTTTATTTATGAAAAATGCCACCAGTCATTTTTTACGTTGAATATTTGAGGGTCGGACTTCTAAAGGGTGACGTTAGAGGTCTTTTCTTCACTAGTTTATCCTCTATTTATAATAGAAGAAATATGGACTAAGTCCAAAATACGAATAAAAAATAATAACAAACTCAGTAAAGATAAAACATAAATATAAAATAAAGATAATATATCTAACACTCCCCTCAAGCTAGTGCATAAGTATCGTATGTACCAAACTTGTTACTAATATAGTGAAAATATCTGATTTTGCACTCGAGTGACACCAAATTTTTAATGATTTGCAAGACGAAATACCAACCCGAAAGACTTTCCTGAGCAGCAAATTGAGAGGTTATTTCATGTAAATCTCTTCTTGCCAATCACAATGCATTGTTGACATCAAGTGGATAAAGAGATCATTGTTTGAGAGCCACCATAACTATAAATAAACTAACAAAAGCCATTTTATTCTATGGGAGAAAATTCATATATGGACGGATCAAACAATGGTAACAAAAGGGAGGTCAGAAGAAACGATAGTGGAAGAAGTATGGATGAACAGGAGAAAGAAACCAGAAAAATCCAAGTTCTCCAATCAAGGCATTTGAAAAAGGAAAAAAGAGCAACCTCGATGCTCTGAATAGCTATATGAGAGGAGACGGGACGTGCGACAATGCACAATGAACCTGAAGAGGAAATGAGTGATCCCAACACTTAAATTGCTACTAGACATTGTTACCATGCACTATGGGAAAAAGGAATCAATCAACAACTTCAAAAGGCACTAAGAGTGCGATGATCTCCGATGAAGGCGTGTTGATGGCATGGTGGTTGCCTGGCCGAGATAATCAAAAGCAAGGTGATCGTCGGTCGAAACTAAAACTCTAGTAGTGTACAGCAGTAGCATGGCGCCCCCAACAGTAAGTAGATAGCGTCCGCCGACAACCAAAATAGAACCTGACTCTCTTACCATATTGTGAAAATTATATATGGGATATAGTAAATTAATCTTTGCTTAGTCCATTCAAGTCAAATAATCACGTCACATACAAATTATAAGGTTTGAAGTTCATACTCATAACACCATACATGTTAACCATAAAAATCCAAGATTCTCCAATCAAGGCATCTGAAAAAGGAAAGAAGAGGAACCTCGATGCTCTGATTAGCTGTATGAGAGGAGACCGAATGTGCGACAACGCATGATGAACCTAAAAGAGGAAAACGAGTGATCTCGAAATTACTACTAGACATGTCACCATGCACGATGAAAAATGGATCAAATCAACAACTTCAAAAAAAATTTACTCAAAAGAACTAGCTCTAAATACCATATTATGAAAATTATGTATGAGACTACAAAA